CAGGGCTCTGCTAAAAGAATTGTTTTATAAGATTACAGTTTATGTTTACAGGGATGATTTTATTTTGTGAGTCAGAGGGAATAAAGACCAAGCTTTGGCACAATGACAGCACTGTTGTTTCTATATATCATGATCTAAGCATAATTTCTGAGCTGATGGGCATCATTTTTGTTAATATGACATTGAAAAGGATGTAACCTGCCCTCACCCCACGCCTGTGTTGGCTTGGGAGAGTTGTGGGAACAGAAGCAACATTGAACAGAAGACTGAGAAGAAGGCCAATAATCCAGGAGTCCTATTTATGTAATGGTGTGTGATTTCCAGTCCCTGGGTGATACTGTGACACCAGTGTGAGACAGCAAATGTCGCTCAAGGATCTTGCAGTCTTTTCTGACACCAGTTTTTGTATCATCAGGTCATGCTTATACATGCTTACACAACAAATATTCCTGTGCTGGAGGTCATTTACATAGAACAACTTGGCCTGATTTTGCTGGAGATTGGCTAGGCTCAGAGAAACAAGTTCATTTTTTTTGTGGGGGAAAAAAGGGATCAAAGGATTAAAAACCCCCATGAGGAAAAGGAGAACAGAGAAGGAAATGGGAAGAACATGAGGAGAAAAGAGACATATTCTTTAAGCTAAGGAGACAATTAGACATTGAAATTGCACATGGTAAAGAAAACAGAAGCAGATAAGCTTGGAGCAAAGAGATATGGGAGAGTGAATGAGGATGAACAGATCGAATCCCAAGAGAAGGAGCTGAGTCAGGCATTATGTTCCTGTGATATGGACCTGTGTGTTTTTTCGGGTGTGGCTGTCTGTGCTTCAAACTTCTGTGGAGCTGAAGTTCTGTCATCTTTCACAGCCACATTGCTTTTGCAGCTCCCACAGTGCTTGACCATCATGACCCTCTACTCTCACAATTTCAGGATTTAGGAATGTGACCTGCAAAGTACTTGTAGTCAAGTGGGTCATACGTACATTGCTTGTGTCAAAAACACATACAAAGAAAGTAGGAACAAAAGAGATGGCACCTAAATCCTATTCAGTCCAAACCAGTCAAGAGAATGTGCTGCCAAAGATCTGGTACTGCTCAGCAACATCCTGAGCAGCCAGAGAGAGCAAGAGGGATAGACCTCCTTTTGTTACCAACAGCCTCTTCCCAATTCCAAAATAAGTACAAGATGCTCTGACTCAGAGTTTTCTATAGTGTAGTCTACAACATGAAGTAGGCATGCCTGTTGTCACCATGTGCAGAAATGTTACATCTCTAGAAGGGAGGTTAGAAATATTTCCTATAAAAATATTGGAGGAGTAAATATGTTAAAGACTTTTAAATGGTCATTCACTTTGGTAACAAGTAAAGTTGCTAGACAAAGAGGTTTTTAAAATTTGAATTGTCCCCAGTTAATACTGATATGAGAGAAAGCTGAAGGGAAACCTATTGCTATTTTTGTAGGTTTTGTTTTTTGTTTGCTTGCTTACTTGTTTTTATTTAGAACTACAAATAATATTGTGTAAACTAAGGTTACAAAGCGCTTTTTACCTATGTAACACACTGCAAAGTGTAAAAAAAGTGTAACAAATTGCAACTTGTAATCAGGATTGTAACATAAGTAAAGATATTGAATCATGATGTTCCTTAAAATAAACTGTCAGCAGATTGCAGTAATTAACACCCCACTCTGCTGCTCAGCATTGTTTGTGAGGGCAAATACAGAGCGAAACCTTATGGGCAGATTCTGCCTAGGGACATTTGCAGGCCTCAGTACTCAATGGTAGTTGTACAAGTATACAACGGCTAAGATCTGTCCTTGAAGTAGCTATATGAAAAATTACTTGGCCATCTCTATAGGAAGTTGATAAGGTTTACTTTGGAGCCTTTTATATTGGTGTCTTCTAATGCTAAGTTTTAATGCTGTCTCTTACATCTTCAGAAGTTGTGTTTTAGCAAAAAAGACAGGCATTAGAAGGTTTGTGTATGCTGGTACTGCAGAAAACAACAACTCTGTCTGGATTTAAAAATACTAGTAAGTTGGTGCTTCCTGTCTCCCATCCCTGTTCTTTCTCCCTGAAATTACTTTGCTTCCTGCTGCAAACTAGATTTTGTGCCATTCATACTACTACTAATAAAATGACACTAATTGCTATGTGTAGTGAATGTTCTGAATTGAGCCTGAGGAACTGAGTGTAGGCTGTATAAGATACCAAACATAGCGACTTCGCAAATAGGGTAAATTAGAGTCAAGGAAATGTTATATAACAGAGTATGAGTGGTAGCTTATAGCCTTCATTTTCATTCACACCCACAATTTGAGCTCTTTCACAGAAGCACTCTTACTGGGAGGTAATCTGTTGGAGAAAATTCATCAAAAACATGCCATCCTTCTAATGTTAACCATAGCACAAAATATCAAAATAGAAAGTCTACTCAGTACAGCTTTTTTCTTAAGTGCCAAGGACACGTTAAAAATATCTAGTGACACTTTAAAAATATATTTTTTTAATGCAGGCATTAATATGCAACTATGGATAAGTAACCATTCATGTGAAATTAGAGTGACAGTTTTTAAGACACCTAAATGACCTGGGAGTCAAAATCAGGTTGTTTAAAAGTGATGGGGACACCTGGGGTCTCAAGGGGCTGGGCAGACTTTCCTCTCTGTAGCTCAGAGCAGAGACTTATGCTGGACCCTCAGGCTTCCTCAGGATCTGGAAAAGCTTTTCTGTGGCTACACAGCCTGGTGACTGAGCTCCTTGGCTTCAATGGTGACAATTTGTGGTAATTGCAAAGCTGCTTTTGGGTTTTGAATTGATCTTCATTTGAGATGGGGGTCCCTGTGCTGGCTTCTGCTCCCAGGGTAAGCATGCTGCGGCGCACTTGTGTAGTGTTGCCCCTAGTGTCTAATATCAGCATATGGTTTGAAATGGGTTGTATTTTGTGGAAAACTCTTACTAGGTGTTTTTCAGAGCATGTCTCTTATAGATACATATTCTAAAACTCATTTGGGCAGCAATCCTGCAGGGATTTGCTATTTCTAAACTTGCTGGGAGTGAGGGGAAACAAATGAAGTCCAGGACATGCTATAGAAAATTTACACTTGGATTCTCCAAGAAAATGGGAACTGTGCAGCAGAAGTGGTGCAAAGCTACTGTGACTTCAGGCTGAGTGGGGAGCAGCCATGGTTTCCCGCCACAGGGCATGCTGGCTGCATATATCCTCTTGCTCACAGCTTTGTGAAGGGAGTCTCTGGGGCCCCAGTCTGTGCCGGCAAAAGCTGAGACCTGCAATGCATCAGAAGCCCTCAGCTGCGGCAGTGATCCCCTGGGAAACATGGCAGGCAGCAGGAACCAAGCAGGACGTCTGGAGTGCCCTGATGAATGCCAGAGAGAAGCTGTGCTCAGTCCCTGCCTGCTGTGAGGGCAGAGGCTGCTTGCTGGTCTGGACAAAGGTTGGCTGCTTAATTTTGTTCTGCTGTTGTTACTAAAACTCCACATAAATCTTGTGCAGTACTTGGTGTCCTTATGAAAAATGCTTTGACCCCCAAATCTAATAATGCTGCCTGCATAGTTTTAAGGAAAAAAATTTAGAAAAAAAGCACTGGGAAACTGAACAGTATTAAAAACTGAAGCTGCCCATTTCCCAGCCTATCTAAATATGTGTGTAGAGGTAGTAGCAAGCTGCTTATTCAACAGAAAGCATAAGGGTGTGTAAGAAAATAAGGTCCTTGCACAGTAGCAGAAAATAACTGCTGTTGTGGTGGTGAATGGGGGAAACAGGAACAAGTGTTCAGGGTCCGTGCCTGCCCTTTTATTTCCCTTCTGCAGCCATCTTGAGATTTGAAAAATGCTCCCTCACCAATGTGAGAGCTGCAGCCCCTTGATCTCTCTTGAAAATTTGTGCCTCTGGAAGTATCTGTGGTATTGCTTGATAAACTCAAATCTTGGCTTCTTACTTTAGACAATAAGTGCTCTGTGTTGCACCCTTCAGCGGTTTGTTCTTTAATATTTTGTTCATCTTCTTTAATCTTAGTTAGTGATTCTCTCTCTTGACAGAAATAAGAAAACAAATAAATGCTGTAGCTGTAACGGAAGGTCTGAAATTCTGAGATTAAATGAAAAGAAGGCTTCAGGCTGAACTGTATCCCTCATAAAGTATCTGAACTCGATTTCATGACCTATGCCTGTCCATTCAGTATCCCTTAATATCACACTGGTCTTTGCTCCTGTCTGTGCCTTGTGCTACTTGCCTCAGGAAGTGTGTTTGAAAATCCTTGTAATATAAATCCAGATAATTGGTCTTGTGGCTAACAGTTAATTGAAGATGGTAGTATGAATGAGTATAGAGTGAAAGGAGATAAGCCTAGTGTTTATCCCAAATCAAAATTAGAGTAAATTTATTTCACTGGAGCATTGGTGTGGGTATTGGGATCTTCTGTGTCCTATAGACTAGATGGTACTATTAATTTTGTTTCTAGATTGGCATTAATTCAGGAATGTGAAATGAAAGAAATCTCATTGCTTAGTGCTGATGTCTGTGGTTTGAACACCTGATACTTCTGCTTCTGTGGGAGGTGGGACTAAAGTCAGAACAAAAAAAAAGATTACTTTTGAAGCAGAAGGTATCTGGTCAATTGGGATTATCTGAACTGGAGAATAATGAAGTTAGGGTTCAAACCTGAAAGTATTCTTTGCTCAGGTATGTCATTGTAATAGTTTCACTGGAATTACTCATATGGAAAACATTACTAGCATCTGTGGGATTGGGCTGCCATGCAATACACATTATTAATGCTCTCTGTTAAATGACTTGCACAGCAATTGGGGAAAAGGGTTTGATAAAATTCTTGGAATTTATTTTTCACATATTTAATTGCATAAATAGCAGAAATTTGAAATGACAATAGATGGTGGGGAGATTTCATTCAGCTGAAACTAGAGAACAGACTGCCACCTGCCTGGCTTAGCTAAGGACTATTGTTGGCACTACTGAAGCTGCTCTCGCAAAACTGAAATAGCAATACGTATTTTTTGCAGCAAATAAATAAACTTGATAATCAGAGTAAAAGAACATGTATATACAGAGGAAATACATCCAGGATGTTCATGTTAATTTTGCATGTGAGTAGAAGAGTTTGGGATACAGATGTATTTCATGTGATCTGCAGGTGCTAATCAGTGTGCTCATAGTTGCTGTGTGTTTATATGTATGTGTGTGTCTGCATCTGCATCTGCATCTGCATAGACATTGTTACTGTATATAAATTCTATCCTGTTTTGTTCATCCAAACTAAAGTTTTTCTAACGGATGAAATGCTTCTATTCTCTGTGTAGTCTAGCATATTAGTTGTTCTGTTAATTTTTAACTTTTTTTTTTTACCTGTTTTAGTGGACATAGGAGTAGTGACCAGAATCATTAAAATGTTAATAAATATGTTAGTAAGTCACTTTTAGGTTTTTTTCCTTTGTATCAGCATGTAATTGCTTTTTCTCTGTGTAGATTTTGTCTCCTAGTTTCCATCCTTCCTGTTCTGTTTGATAACTAAAAACATTTGTCTTCACTTTTCATCTTCAGAGTTACTGTGTGTGATACAAGTTTTGCAATGCCACAAACATAGCCTGCTACCCAAATACCTCTGCTGTAGGAACTACAGGACTCAGCAGACCCACCCCAGTCTTGAGGAATGTGTTGCATTGGCTGCCCTCAATTCCTTCCTGCTCAGCTCTGCAGAAGCTCTTTGCTCTGCTCAAAACCAGCTAGAATTTAGGAAAGTTGATTAAATTTAATATGATGATAGTGTTTTATTTGAGCTGATAAAAACTGCAATAACGAAAAATGAAGGCTATTTAATTATTGCTTTTGAATAGGACGTCTTTCAGTTGCTTCTGTTTTTCAATGCTTTTGTCTGCAGGGGGGTTTTTTCAGGTCTCCCCTTTGTCAGAGGTTAGTGTAATCTCTGCAAAGACTGAGCATATGTGCACACACTTTGAGACATCAGAAGAATTAAATTTTATTATACATTTATTCTAATTAAAAAAAATACTTTTCTTGTCTTCCAATAGCCTTGTTATTCAGTGGTATACTATAGATATGTAGGCTTCACCTGTATTAATGAACAAGACAGGGTGAATATATACTTGGGCTCTTGCTTGTGATAATTCATGCTACTTAATTATGAACCTGCTTTCCTGCACAGGTATTTTTTCCTAGAAAAATGAAGAACTTTAAAATTAATTTTTAAAAATTCATCATTTTCCCAGTAAGAATAGAGCTGTTTTTTAATTGTATTTTGCAGTTTCTATATGCACATTTGCTTCTGTAGAACCATGCTGCTTATTCAATATTTACTGTGATCATACAACAAAAATCTTTTAGAATAAGATTAGCAGTGTTCAACAGTTTAAAGAGTGTTTTGTCTTTAAACAGTGGGTGTAGATTTTCTTCCTTTTGATTTTTGAGTCTTTTAAGAGACTATTATGTATGGCAATAAAAGCTTCCCTATGCATTGAGAAGCCAGGATCCTCAACATAAGCTTCTTAAAATTACCAAAAAAGTAGAAATTAATTCTGTGGTCTGTCTGCACGGTGAAGTCTCTACCAAGAAAGAAAGACCTCGAATTTACAGTATATTTCCTAGACCTCATTATTTTCTGTGTGGACATGTTTACTGTATCTGAAGAATAGCTCTGGATGAAGAGGTAGAAAAGTAATGTTTATATTTATTGTGGCAAAATCTAGCTAAAATTTCATGGGGGGTCTATGCACATCTTAATTCATCATCCCTTGCAGACTAATTTATTGATTTTATTAGAGTCATAGAGACAGAGTGAGCTGGAAAGTGGAGCATTTGCCTGCATCTCCATAGAACTTGATTCCATAACAATTGATTGATTTTTGTCGGCTAACTCCCAAAAATCAACTTTGTGGTCGATAAGAAAAGGAAAATATAGCAAATTAAAAAAATAGATTTTGACTAAAATATTTGTTATTTCTGAATCTTTTTCCTAGGTTCTTACTGTATCTAAACTTCTTGTCAATGGCAGACTGAATCCAGTCATGTATTAATGGTTAATCAAAGCCATGTTGACCTGAGTTGGTAAAGTGAGAGCGTTCTCAGCATAGCTGCTATTGCATCTCTGTTCTTCAAGAAAGACCTATAAAAAATTTAGAAATGGCACTAGGAACCATATTTTTTAAATTTGTCTTTGTGAAATACTTTTTCCCCCCCCAATATTCAGCAGAGACACTAGTTAGATATTATTAGTGAGGTGCAATTTCTTCCTTTGTAGTGAGCTTATGCTGCTGTGAGAAAAAGGTTATCCCAATATGAAAGAGGTCTTTCATAGAGAAAACCCCTGATTTTGTGGCCAGTTATTCTCTCTGCCTTAGGAGAAGTCTGAGGATATAAAAGAATAAATCCTGGATGCAAGCAAATGTTACACTAAGTATCCGTATCTATTTTTGGTGGTTGTTCATACTAACAAGCTTATTCAAATTAAACTGCTTAAGGATTCCTATCTCTTTAAAAGGAAAGAAATCACAAGATGCAAGGTAAAGAAATGGCATTAAATGCTCTACTAGAATTCAGCAGGTCTGGGAGAGACTAACGTCGTCCAGAAGGTGGAGATGCCAGGATATAAAAAAGTGTTCTCCTTTTTGGTTGCATCAATTCTAATAATCAAACACAAATTGTTGCATGACTAGTACAGAAAGATGGTTTTCATTTGTCTTCTTAGATTCAGTTATGGTAATCACTGTACTGCTTATGCTCCTGTGTGTTTGATTGATTGCTCTCTGCTCCTGCTGTTCTGTGCACGGAGAGACCTGACATTTGATGAAGCTGAAGTTCAGAGTAGGCTGAGAGAGATATTTCAAGGTCTTTGCTACAATAGGTTTCTAGTTATAATCTTATTTTATACGCCTAAGGCAAATGCTGCAATGAATATGGAAATAAACAAAGAAAAAAAATATACTGTTTGATTTTGAAGGACCTCTGTATTTGTCTCTGCAGTGCCAGAACCCAAAGATTTCTAGGCTAAGATCCTCATATGTAATGCACAGGAACATATCCAGTTAGCTTAGCTTGTACACTTGTAGCTTTTATAAAAGATCATTGTTCTGACTCGATACCACAGGTTCAGAATGACATTTCTTTATGTGGTAAAAAATAATTTGAAGTTCTATTTAAAGGCAAATAGTAGATTCATCTGAGGCTTCGTGCATGTGCATGAAGAGTGGGATGGTGCTTAGACATGCCATGAATGCATGATGCCATCTCTTCTTTACACTTCGGTTGGGACTAGTAATGAATAATTTCTGATATGGATGATATCATTGCTATTAAATTTCACTTCTGGTTATTGTCTATATGGTTTTTGAGCTCTACTGAGAACAACTTAAGTCCCATGAAATTCTAGCATCTTACTGCTCAGAAGAAAGGGGAAAAGCTGCTTTTTTTCAGTTAAATACATTGTGCAACATGTAGCAAGAAGGATATCTATTTAAAAGTGCACTGCCCTGTCCAGCTGAACATTTCCTCTGTGTCTTATTAGGAGGCTGTAAGATGCATTTTTGCCCTTGACATCTATCACCAGGAAGGATGCCTCCTTCCTATGTTTCAGATAAAACTGAACCATACAGGATAGCTTTTGACAGGTAAAATCATGGGGAAACATTTCTGGGGTCACTGAAGATATTCAGTTCTGGTTTTGTTGTTGCTGTGTTTTGTTTTTTGTTTTTTTAGGGAGGTGGGGAGGGTCTAGTCTCTGTTTCTTTAGTACAGAAAAAAACCCCCAAATCTAAACCAGGAAAACAGTAGATGTGCCCTGACCAGTTATCTACAGAACTACTGCCTGCAAAGTTTTGGTGGAAGGCTAATTTTGCCATGCAGCATTTCTCACAAACCCTGGAGGCCTCAGACTTGCTGATTTCCAAACCAAAATAGTTTTGGACCCTGGACAATGCAGTAATCATCTGTATCTTGTTAACTGAGCTCTTTTGGACAACAAGTAAAACCACACATGCTGATTTCTGTAATATCAGCTGCCTTTCATAGAATCCTAAAATGGTTTGTATTGGAAGGAATATTAAAGATCATCTAGTTCCATCCCCCCTAGTGGGGGAAGGACACCTTCTACTAGACCAGGTTGCTGAAAGCCCCAACCAACCTGGCCTGTAACACTTTCAGGGATGGAGCATCCACAGCTTCTCTGGGCAACTCATTTCAGTGCTTCACCATCCTCACAGTAAAGAATTTCTTCCTAATATCTAATCTAAACCTACCCTCTTTCATTCTACATGCAGTCCTTCTCCAGCTTTCTTGTAGGCCCCCTTTAGGTCCTGGAATGCTGCTATAAGTGGTCCCCAGAGCCTTTTCTTCTCTAAGCTGGACAGCCCCTACTGTATCACCCTGTCTTCATATGACAGGTGCTCCAGACCTCTATCATCTTCATGACCTTCCTCTGGACATGCTCCAAGTGGCTGGTCCATGTGTTTTCTGTGCTGAGGACCCCAGAGCTGGACGCAGCACTCCAGGTGGGGTCTCACGAGCGCAGAATAGAGGAAGGAGATGAAGGCGGACACTGAGATGGAGAGAGAAAAAGAAGCAATAAGGGCAGAAATAGTTAAGGTTGTGTTGCCAAACTGTTAATTCCCACCACCCCCATCACCGAGAGCAGTTCTTGGGATGGTGCCTGAGCAGACAGGTGTGAGGAGGAGGAGAAGGGCTGCCTGGCAGGCTGAGTTTGGTTACGATGTCTGCAGGGTGGGGGATGTCAGGGAGCAGAACATGCTGGAGGAAGCTTTAACACCTGTCTGCAGAGCTGGATTGAGCTGCCTCCAGCACTGCCCTTCAAAGAACCCAGGCATGTTCTATCTTTTCCAGGTTACCACTTGCATGTGAGCATCCTTGATCCAGACCAACATTTGCTGTGTAAAACCATGAATGTGTTTCTAGGAAATATGTGGAAGAAGCTGGGAGTTCATGGTTTAGGTCTGGAGTCTTATAGTGCTGACATGAAATTTAATGAGTCCAAATGCTGGATTTTGCATGTAGGATACAGTAAAGCTGGGCACAAGTACAGACTGGGAAAGGAGTATTTGGAGAGCAGTCCTGCAGAGTC